CTTGGCACAAATGTTTGTTATAATAAAGACAATGTTGTCATGCGCAACAACCAGACCCGTAACCTTCAGGGTCAAGGTCGTACTTGCTCATTCAAGGTCAACATTGTCTATTTGAGGGTATATGTCGTGTCCGGTCCATAACTTTCTTATCTATGAAGGGATTTTGTAAATACTTGCCATAATTGTTCACAATAATCAGATGATGTGTCATGCGCAAAAACCGGTCACCTACCTCCAAGGTCAAGGTCACACTTGGAGGTCAAATACTTACATAGTCTGTTACAGGGTATATTTTGTGTCAGTTCTATAACTTTTTTTCAATAGATCAAAGGATTTTGAAAATACTTAGCACAAATAGTCACTATAATAAGAGGATGTGTCATGCGCAACACCTGCATCCCTACCTCCAAGGTCAAGGTCACACTTAGAGGTCAAAAATTAACTTAGTCTGTTATAGGGTATATTTTGTGTCGAATCTAGAACTTCTTCATAATTCAAGGGATTTTGAAAAAACTTGGCACAAATAGTCACAATAATAAGCCGATATGTCAGGTACAACACCTGCACCCCTACCTCTTAAGGTCAAGGTCACACCTTGAGGTCAAAGGTTAACAGAGTCTGTTATTTGGTATATTTTTTGTCCTGTCCATTACTTCTTCATAGATTAAGGGATTTTGAAAATACTTGGCACAAATAGTCACAATGATTAGATGATATGTCATGCGTAACATCTGTGTCCCTACCTCCAAGGTTAAGGTCACACTTAGAGGTCAAAGATTTACATAGTCTGTTATAGGGTATATTTTGTGTCCAATCTATAACTTCTTCATAGTTCAAGGGATTTTGAAAATACTTGGCACAAATAGTCTCAATAATAAGACGTTATGTCATGCACAACACCTGCTCCCCTACCTCCAAGGTCAAGGTCACACTTAGAGGTCAACGCTTTACATGATAGATTTTTAAATTCTGTGTTCCGTTTTATTTTTTTAACAAATTTATTGTTACATTTGCAGATCTAGCATTGATCATAATTTTGGACTGAATGTCCTGAGATCCATACCTCAATCTTTTGAAATAGCACAATTTTATGCTTCATGTAAAACTCCCGGGGCGAGGACGTTGGTAACTCTGTTACAAATTCTTGTCTTAAAAAGTGTTAGAGGTATCAACTTGAAACTTCATAGGTGGATAAATGTCATTACACAAGAATGATAGCCTACCCTGCATTATTTTTCAGTTATTGCCCTTTGTTTTTTTCAGCCATCAGTAGTCAAATAGGTTTCTGTTATCTGACTTCGGCATTAGTTTTCATTATCAAAAGACGTCTTAATATTAAATTATTCTGCTCCACTACATTTATATATATATATATAGAGAATAACATGCTACTGTCTTTTGATATCAATTTTATCAGGCTAGGCTTGCCCAGCCCTTTCTGTCCATATCAGCCGAGCATGATAAAATTGATATCAAAAGACAGTAGCATGTTTTTCTATTTATCATGTAACACATAAAAACTGTCAAAATTACAAAATAATCTACTGTTTAATAGCGAATTTCGTAGAAAGGGGCATTTTGTGTCGCCTCTACGGATTACTTCTCCGTCGTCTGTCTGTCCGTCCGTCACAAAACTTGTCCGGACTACTCCTCATAAACAACAAGTGCATTTTCATCCAAACTTTACAGGAATGATCAGTACCAAGTCTAGTTGTGCATATTGTCAGCATTTTTGGGTTCAATGATTTTTGTTAGAGTATAATGGCCCTTTAATAATTTTTATTTTTAAAGTTTGTCCTAACTACTTCTCTTATACCACTAGTGCAATTTCAATGAAAATTTACAGGATTGATCTGTAGCTCAGGTCCTTGCGCATATTGCACAGGTTTTCCGGTTGAATGATTTTTTGCAGAGTTATGGCCCTTTGATAAAAAGGTTTTTTTTTCTGTGTGTTGCCCGATACACAAAAGCTTGTCCGGACTACTCCTCATAAACTACTGGTGCAATTTTATCCAAACTTTACAGGCATGATCAGTACAAAGTCTAGTTGTGCACTGTCTGTCTGTCCGTCTGTCACAAAACTTGTCCCCACTACTCCTCATAAACTACTGGGGCAATTTCATCCTAACTTTACAGGAATTTATGTCGCCACTACTCCGATCACTTCTCTGTCTGTCACAAAACTTGTCCCAACATGAAATTGGCCATCATGAGGCACCACATGTGATCACTGATCGCTCTTGTTGTTAAAAGAAATAATTATTGAAAACAAATTCCCCAGCCCCTGAAACTTAGAATTTGTAAATGGCGGCAATTTTTCTTTCGACTCGAGATTATTTCCTGTGATAAAAAACACAACAGAATGTAACAAGATAAAATTCTTACCTTTAAAAATCATTCTAAAATTCCTAAGAATCACATAAACTTTACTGCACTTTTTGTCTTGAATTGTCAAATTCAAAATTTCACAATAATTTCAATCAAACAAAACTTCAAAAGTCAAATCGGCAATCAAACACAAGCTACACAAATATGCGTTTTATTTTTTTAAACGAAACAATGTGTTCATTTATTAAATAATAATCCAGCGGAATAAAGTAAACATTTACAAATTCTCAAAGAAAATCATCTAGCCTGTTTGTTATGATTACATGTCTAGTATGACATGAACATCGACGATGATGTCATTTGCAATATAAATTATGATGTCACTTCATTTAGTTGGTGCTTAAGTAATTGCTATTTGAAATCAAAATAATAAATAAATAAATATCGCATCTTGATCAAAGACTTGTAAGGGTATGAGATTACATTGTAGAATTCACATGCTGATGAAAATGAGAATATAAGCAATTGGAAAAAGTCATTTAAAATGGGCGGGGCTTATTTTTGATATCAGGTTAATGACCTGATATCAAAAATAATTATCAGGCAAGTGTTATCGGGCAGTTACCATAGCAGTTGCATGATAAATTCTTCCAATGAGCAAACAAATTCGGCGGGTAATGGCCATGTTAACATGGCTCTTGTTTATTTTTATTTTCCAAGAAGTAACAATTTTCAGAACTACTTTTCTTAAATCTTGTCAAATCTTGTAACTTTATATTCAAATTAGATAAAATTAAGTGACACAAAATGTACTTTTAACATTTCATGGAACTTTCTTCAAATTCCAACCAGAATCTACAAATTTTAAATACTTCGATTACCGTTTTGTATTTGATTATTATTGGTACTTTTACGAATAATTATTCCTATAAAAAATAGTTCTATAATCCTCAAAATTATAAGCAATAATACTGATGCATAAGTTTGCAACCAGAAATGCTTGAAGTAGAACTTTGCAACCAAAATGTACTTTAACAAGATATTTTTTGTATTGAAATTTAATTTGGAACATGCAAATTCAAGCATTTACACAGTATCAGCGGAAACATATTTTGTCTTGTTTGGTGAACTTCAAAATTTAAAAATGTGAATATATGAATAGAAAATTTGACCAGTATTGTCACTTGTTAAATTGCAAAATATGTACATGACCATTTTATATCTTCAATAACTTCATCAAATCAGAAGCATGTAAGCTGATACCTTAAACCGAGTGTTTCATAAACATTGTTTGAAGGAATAGGCATATTTTTTTAAAAATAACATACAAACCCACTTACCTGTAGAAAATATGTGCAGGTGTTGTAAACATTCATGACTCTGTAGCCATTTTGTCAAGTTTGCAACCAATTTTCTCGCATGAACCAAGTGTGCAACTATTTCATGCTATGCCCCTTGTTGGAGTGGTAGGGGGCATTTAGTTAAGAGTGCAGTGCCAAAGAACCGTAACTCTTTTTTGCCACATTTTTAGCCCTACTTTACAAAGTATATGGTGAGCTGTCCTACTCGCCCCGGCATCCGCGTTCAGATTTCAGATTTAAGTTTTGGTGCATTAAAATATTTTTATGCCCCAAAAGGGAGGCATTCGCATCGTACGCTGTCCGTCTGTTCTCACAGGACACTAATAATGTGGCTAGAGGGACAATAGGTAACTGTTCTTTCTCTTTGATGTCATTCATTCTGTAATGCTTTTATGTGGCCAATTTCTTTTGTGTGGCTAAAAAACGCAATAGAGAGAACAATAGAGTAGCCACATTATTACTGTCACATTAGAACATCCGTCTGTCTGTCCGTCCCCACTTCATTCAAGTCTGGACTGTAACTTTGTCATACATTGAGGGATTTTGAAATATTACTTGGCACAAATGTGTACCACATCAAGACAATGTGTCGCATCCAAGAACCACGTCCATACATCCAACTATCATTTTGAAGTTTCACATTATCACAATAAGAGTAAAATGTGACACACCTTCGTGTCATGACTGTAACTTTATCCAGCATTGAATGATTTTAAAATAACTTTGCAAAAATGTCTACTACATCAAGACAATGTTCGCTTCCAAGAATTACGTCCCTACCTCAAAGGTCAAGGTCACATTAACATTTTGAAGTTTCATTTTATCACAATAAGAGTTTATAGGTTCACACATTTCACTGAGTAGAAGTGCAGTGCAGAAAAAAAAACAGTAACCCTCCCTTCTCTAATTTTGGAGTTATTTTCCTTTGTTCATTTTTAGACTTTGAATTTTTTTGTGACAATTTTATGCATTTATAATAATCAAGCAGTGATTTACTCGATAAAACATCTTGATAACAAGACTTTCTTCCAGTTGTGGACAATTTTATGCATTCATATAGGTAAGCATTTTTATACTCAATGTGTGACAACTCAAATTGTCGAGTGTGGTTGTCCTCTGACAGCTCTTGTTTATGAGCCAACTGTTTGGCTGCTTCCCTCTCAACTCAACTGCCATTACTATATTAAAGTTTGATATATTAAACTCATGTATGAAAATTATAATATACATTAATTTTTTAAAAGATTGTTGAAATTGGTAGAGTCAGTCTGAAAAGAAACTGTTGAGAAAGGTTAAAGTATTTATTTTCAGATCACCAGAGAATACTGTCTCACTATCCTTAAATCCATCATGTAATCATTCAATTTCCACTCAAAATACATCTCCAGGAGAGAATGTGGCAGGTAGTAAATGCGACAAAGATCATCATACAACAACAAGGCCTACAGAATGCATCGTTGAAATAGAAAGAACATTTGAGGTATACATTACATGAACATATTTATCAGTATTTTATACTCTAGTTTTTAGCTCACCTGAGCATATGCTCAGGGTGAGCTATTAGGATCACTCTTCGTCCGTCGTACGTCGTCCGTTGTCCGTTCACACTTTTCAAACGACATCTCCTCTGAAACCATAAGGCAGATCATAATGAAACTTCACAGGGATGTTCCTTGTGTGAAGCCTTAACAATGTTGTTCAAAGAATTCCATTCCGTCAGAACCCTGAAAAAACTTAAAATCTTCTTTGAAAAAACCCAAAGAGCTAGAGCTTAGATATTTGGCATGAAACATCTTCTAGTGAGTGTCTACTAAGACTGTTCAAATAAAAGCCCTGGGGTCAAAATTGGCCCCGCCCCAGGGGGTCATTGATGTTTCCCTTTATGCATATAGTAAAAACTTAAAAAATCTTCTTTTAAAGAACCCAAAGAGCTAGAGCTAAGATATTTAGCATGAAACATGTTCTAATGGGTGTCTACCAAGTTTGTTCAAATAAAAGCCCTGGGGTCAAAATTGGCCCCGCCCCGGGGGTCATTGATTTTCCTTATATGTGTAAAGCAAAAACTTAAAAAATCTTCTTTGAAAAAACCTTAATAGCTAGAGCTTAGATATTAAGCATGAAACATCTTCTAGTGAGTGTCTACAAAGTTTGTTCAGATAAAAGCCCTGCGGTCAAAATTGGCCCTACCCCGGGGGTCATTGATTTTCCTTATATGTGTATAGCAAAAACTTAAAAATCTTCTTTGAAAAAAACCCAAATAGCTAGAGTTTAGATATTAAGCATGTAACATGTTCTAGTAAGTGTCTACAAAGTTTATTCAAATAAAAGCCCTTGGGTCATAGCTGGCCCCGCCCCAGGGGTGTCATTGTTTTTAACTATATGTGTATAGTAAAAACTTAAAAAATCTTCTTTTAAAAAACCCAATGAGCTACAGCTTAGATGTTTAGCATGAAACATTTTCTTATGGGTGTCTACCAAGTTTGTTCAAATAAAAGCCCTGGGGTTTAAACTGGCCCCGCTCCGGGGGCCTATATACAGGTGAGCGACTTCAGGGCCATCATGGCCCTCTTGTTTGAAAGATGTGTGTAGTACGGCGAAATGATATGTAATGATGGCGTTTAAAACGTGTGAACCAACCACACGATGCTTTGAAACTTTGAGTACCACTCTCCTTATGCAGTCTTAGTGCTTCATATTTGAGGGACTTGCCTGTAACTCGCACCCCTGCCTCACGACAATCGGTAAACCACTTGATCAGTTTTTCTTCAATATCTGCAAACCACACTGGCCTTCCTGCCCCCGGAGCCTGTTTGCGTGTTTTGCTTAAGATGTTCAAACTGTCCTTCTTTTGGCACCATTCTCGAACCCATTTTTCTGTCAACCAGAAAAGCTTTGCAGCTTTATATTTGCTGTGTGCCTCTGCAAACTGTATGACTATTAAATTAAAAGTTTACATTATACGTTTTATGCGTTTTATTTTTCATATCCATAATGAGAGACTGAGAAAGAATGACACTTTAGTTTTACACAAGGTGACAGTTCAGTACAAAAACTGATAATGTGTAATGCTGCATGATTGGTTAATTAATTTTAGCATTGAAAGAGCATTGCCCTCTAGCATGGACAAATACACAGATCTAGAAGTAGGGCGTGTTGACACATTGTAAATAAGGCAAAAAGCATTGATGACGTCAGATTGTCGGCAAGATAAAAGATGTCCACTGCAGCTGTATGGATGAAAAATCGAGAGAGCTCTCGGTGAAGATAAAAGGTGTCATGGGTTGACAGGATGATGATGTTTTCACACAGGACTTGTGTGAATTTTTTATGCCCCCGGGCATATAGTAATTGAACCGTCCGTCCGTCCGTACAAACCAGAGCTACATTATGGTGTTTGGTCTATTGTTTTCATAACAATAGATGTCTTTGATGTCATTCATTCCGTTTTTCTTGTGGGGTTATTTTCTGCATTGTGGGGTTAAAAAGAACAAAAGAAATAACAAAAGAAAACCCCATAATGTAGCTCAGGTAAGAACGTCCGTCTGTCCGTACGAAGTTAGCCTAGAACGGCAAGTTGGATTTTTCTTAAGTTCTACCTGTACCAATGGCTTCTAAGTTTACACACTCACTTATCAATACAAAGTCCATGATCTGGGCAAGTTACATAACTCTAACTTTCATATTTACCAAGTTATTGCCCTTTTCAGCACTTAGAAAATGAATAATGGTTAACCTAAAACGGCATGTTGGAAATATCTTAAGTTCTATCTATACTAATGGCTTTATAATTTCCACACTTACTTATCAATACAAAGTACATGATATTGCCAAGTTATATAACTGTGTCATCCATATTTCCCAGTTATTTCCCTTTTTTCACTCTGAAAATAGGGCCTTGTCTGGTTAACCTATTTTGGCAAGTTGAATTTATCTTAAATTTATCCTAATTGCTTAATTTCTTTAATGATATCTTTCATATTTAGTAGGTGGATACCTTTGATGGTCCTCTAATTTTTAGCTCAACTATTCGAAGAATATGAGAGCTATTGTAGTCGCCCCGGCGTGAGGGTCAGCGTCCACTTTGGTGTCTGCGTTGGTTAAAGTTTTTTTGTAAATTCAAATATCTCAATTATTGCTTGAGATATTCAATTGAAACTTACAATACTTATTTATAGTAACAATGTTCATCAGATTGACAAATTGGATAACTCTGCCTACAATATTCACAGAATTATGCCCCTTTTTAACTTAGAAATTTTGGTTTAAGTTTTTTGTAAAGTCAAATATCTCAATTATTGCTTGAGGTATTCAATTGAAACTTACAATACTTATTAGCTCGACTATTCGATAAGAATAAGTAGAGCTATTGTAGTCACCCAAGCGTCAGCGTCGGCGTTGGTGTCCGTGTCGGCGTAACCACTTATGTTAAAGTTTTTGTAATAGTTCAAATATTTTCAAAGTCCATTGACATATGGCTTTGAAACTTGGCACACTTGTTCACCATCATGACCCAAAACCTGTAAGACAGGAGGAGGTAAACTGTATCAAGCATTTTGACAGAATTATGCCCCTTTTTCGACTTAGAATTTACGGTAAAGTTTTTGTAATAGTTCAAAAATATTTTCAAAAGTCCATTGACATAATGGCTTTGAAAAACATTGCACACTTGTTCACCATCCATTATCCCAACCTATAAACAGGAGGAGGTAACTGTATCAAGCATTTTGACAGAATTATGCCCCTTTTTTCGACTTAGAATTTACTTTAAAAAAGTTTTTGTAATAGTTCAAATATTTTCAAAAGTCCATTGACATATGGCTTTGAAAACTTTGCACACTTGTACACCATCATTACCCCAACCTGTAAACAGGAGGAGGTAATTGTATCAAGGATTTTTTTTTACTATCAAGCACTAAGAATAGTCGAGCGTTGCTGTCCTACCGACAGCTCTTGTTTATAGTAACAATGTACATCAGATTGACAAGTTGGATAACTTTGCCTACAATATTTACAGAATTATGCCCCTTTTTAACTTAGAATTTTGGTTAAAGTTTTTTGTAAAGTCAAATATCTCAATTATTGCTTGAGATATTCAATTGAAACTTACAAAACTTATTTATAGTAACAATTGTACATCAGATTGACAAGTTTACATTAAACTCTGCCTATAATATTTACAGAAATTATGCCCCTTTTAACTTAGAAATTTTTTTTAAAAGTTTTTTTGTAAAATCAAATATCTCAATTATTGCTTGAGATATTCAATTGAAATTTACATTACTTTTTTATAGTAACAATGTAATCAGTTTGCAAAATTGCATAACTCTGGGCCTGCAATATTTGCAGAATTATTTGCCCCTTTGGAAAACTTAGAAATTTTGGTTAAAGGTTAAAGGTCTTCAAGATATTTATTTGAAACTTTACACATGTACTTGGGGTCATAATTGGAAGTCATAAATTGTATATCAGCTGACCAAGTTCCATAACTCTACTTACCATTTAGGCTGATTCATCTCCCTTTTCCTAACTTAGTCTCTTGTTAATGTTTACATGCAAGTTTTACATATCCAATAACTATTAAAGTAGGATACTTTATTTAAAACTTCACATAATGCATTAGAATCATAATTGTAGGTCACTGACCAAGATCCATAATTCTATCTTGCATTTAGGCTGATTTTTCACGACCCTTTTTTAAAGCTTAGAAATTCATGGTAAAAAGTTTTGCTTGTAAGCTGTTATCTCCATAACTAAGCTGAAGAGTGTGTGCCTTTTTTGGGACATTTTTATGCATTCATAATAATAAAGCAGTGATTTACTTGATAAAACATCTTAATAACAAGCCTTTGTACCTTTTTGGTCAATTTTATGAATTCATAGGTAGCATTATTACACTCAATAAAACACCCTTGTGACAATTTTTGAATAGTTGAGCCAATACTGTCCTCCGACAGTTCTTGTTTTTGGATTAAGCGATCTCTAAGGTCAAGGTCAAGGTCATTGGTTTAAAAAAGAAATATAAACATTTTTGCTCATACAGCCTTTATTTCTTAGTTGATGTCTTAGTTTAATACAAACATGCCGAGGGAGGTCCTCCTTCTTTGGGTGTAGTAAGGGGTCATTTGGGTCAAGGTCAATGTTACCAATGTCAAGGTCACCAATGTTAAAAATAGATTTTTACATTTTTACAGGTGTATAACTTGCATGGTATTCTTCCTTTGGATGGAGTAAGAGGTCAGTTGGGTCAAGGTCACCAGTGCTAAAAATAGATTTTTACACTTTTGCCCATACAGCCTTTATTGACAGATGTATTTCATATTTGGGAGGAAGATAACTTACATGGTATTCTTCTTTTGGAGGAGTAAGAGGTCAGTTGGGTCAAGGTCACCAGTGCTAAAAATAGATTTTTACACTTTTGCCCATACAGCCTTTATTTATTGACATATTTATTTCATTTTTGGTAGGAAGATGACTTACATGGTATTCTTCTTTTGGATAGAGTTAGGGGTCAGTTTGGTCAGGGTCACAAGTGCTCAAAATAGATTTTTACACTTTTGCCCATACAGCCTTTATTTAACCTTTTACCTTATATAAGCGTGTTTCGACAGCTTTCCCCCCCCCTTTTTGAGGCCTAAAACAGTGAAATAATGCCCTATTTAGGTCCCAAACACTGTTTTTCGTTTGAAAATGTTGTTCAAAAAAAGTGACCACTTTTTCGGCGCCGTCCCCCATCCAAATATTACATCAGGTGGTTGCCAGAAGGGGGATGTGCCCCCTTCTGTTTGGATGGTTTGAAGGGGGGCGGAGTCCCCCTCATCGCCAAGAAAATTTTGGACATGTGACAGGCTAAAAATGGCCTCAGGTTGATCTTAGGGTAACAAGTAACCTACGCTGAAAAGGCTTTTACTCTATGTCAATTTATTGAGAAGTTGCAGCACTTTGAAATCAGTTTTGATGGAAAAAAACAATGCAAAACAGTGATTTTTTGGCAATTTTGAGACGTCCCCCCGTTGCCATGGTAACAGGAAATTTACCATTGAGCATGCTGTTACAGAGGCTATGGTGTAGTCAACATTTGTGCCAAGTTTCATTAGTATTAAAGCATTTTTCATAGTTTCATAGCAGTTTGAACTTGTTACAGGAGGCTTTTCAATGAAAACGGCCATTTTTCGCAATATGCTCATGGGGTAAAAGGTTAAAGACAGAATGATGTATTTCATATTTGGTAGGAAGATAACTTGCATGAAGTTGAATATTTTTCAACTTCACAAGTCAGAGCAACTTATATTTTTCACAATTACAAAATGCCATGACTTTGTCAAGCTATATAACTTGTTTACAATTTTTTGGCAATTTTTCTGTCCATAATTGAGTGAATGGGTAAACATTTTTTGAAATATTGCTACTGACAAGAATCTGAGCCGGGGGCATTTGTGTTTAACAAACATGTTCTTGTTTTTTACATCATTTGAAGAGAGATAATTTTTTTTATACTGAAAAATGTTACACCCCCAGGGGGCATTAAAACGGGATTTTACGGTATAATGGAATCACCCATGACTGGTGTTCAGACAGCTTTGGTTTTGTCCAAAGTATATTTAAAGGCCAGATTTAAATATAAAATAGATAAGTGAGTAGTTTTAAATTGAGGAATTATTTGAAAAATGTTCGCAATCATGCCAGAAAAATCCATGTCAATATCTGCAAGGTTAAGGGTACCAGATATACTAAAATCCAAAGCATATCTATTACATGTATGGAGGGATCTTAGTATTACTAGGCACAAATGTTCATCATTATGGGATGTAGTATTGCACACATGAAACAGGACTCTAGGTCAAAGGTCAAGATCATACTAAAAAGAAGAGAAAAATGCTTGTCTGGAGTAAAACTTCTACATACATAGATGGATTATCATAAAAGGCCAGCTTTAAGTTGACATTGTTTGCCCTTCCACAACCCATGCAAGTTTTCGTAGGGTAGGTATCCTGATAAAATAATATTTATCCAAGAAGGGGGGCATATAGTAATTGTACTGTCCGTCCTTCCGTCCATCTGTCCTGTAATCTTGTCTGAGCTTCATCTCCATAACTGCTGGGGGAATTTCAGTGAAACTTCACAGGATTGATCACCCGGTTAAACAGCATCTTGTTTTGTGGTGTCAGCTGCACAGAAGCTTGTCTGCACTACTCCTCAGAAACAACTGATACAATTTCATCCTCACTTTACAGAAGTGATCAATACCAAGTCTAGTTGTGCATATCATCAGCATGTTGGGGACACATGTGATCACCGATTGTGCTTGCTAGGCTTACAAATCATAGTGAACTTGTATGCTTTCATCTCATGGTAAGCTTGTAGGCTTACATCTTATCATTAGCTTGTAGGATTATATATGGTAGTAAGTTTACATCTCATGGTGAGCTCATAGGTTTGCATCTCATGATGAGCTTGTAGGCTTTCACCTCATAGTAAGCTGGTATGGTAGTAACTGCAACTATTCCATAGGTGTCAAAGTTAAGCCTTATTTTTCTATTGTTTTTTAGAAAAAAGAGGAAGAAAGATTATGTGCTGAGGAAGAAAAAAGGAAAATTGAAGAGGAACATCAACAACGTATTGAAGAGAAAAAGAGAGAAGAAGAACTGGAGAGACAAAAAGAAATACAAAAACAAGAAAAACAGGTATTTATATGCTCTCATAATGACACACCTTTTGAAGAGATTTACTATTTGTTTTCTTTGTGGACTGCCAAAAATAGCCTTCAAAAGAAAACTATTTTTGAAATAAATCAACATTCAGTAGAGGATTTCATGAAAGTTATGTTGTATTTGAAAAGTTTGAGGGTGCAATTATTTTTATGCCCTCAAAGGGAGGCATATTAAAATCGCACCATCTGTCTGTCTGTCAGTCTGTCTGTCTGTGTGTCCCAAATTTATTCATGTCTGGACTGTATCTTTGTCATACATTGAGGGATTTTGAAATAGCTTGGCACAAATGTCTGACGCATCAAGACAATGTGTCGCGTCTAAGAATCATGTCCTACCTCAAAGGTCAAGGTCATACTAACATTTTGAAGTTTCACATTATCACAATAAGAGTTTATAGGTTCACACATTTGTGTCCTGACTGTAACTTTGTCATGCATTTAAGGATTTTAGAATAACTTGGCATAAATGTCTACCACATCAAGAGGATGTGTCGCGTCTATGAATCACATACCTACCTCAAAGGTCAAGGTCACACTACCAATTTGAAGTTCACTTTATCACAGTTAGAGTTTATTGATACACACATTTGTGTCTGGACTTTAACTTTGTCATGCATTGAAGAATTTTTAAATAACTGCATTAATGTCAACCACATTAAGAGGGCATGTGGCATTCAAGACCCCTGTCCCTAGCTTCAAGTTCAAATTCACACTTATAATTTGAAGGAACACATTCATGTCCAGACTCTAACTTTGTCATGCATGGAATGATTTTAAAATAACTTGGCACTAATGTCTACCACATCAGGACGATGTGTTGTGGCTAAGGCTCATGTCTGTCTGTTTGTCCACACTTACACAACAATCATGTCCAGACTGTAACTTTGTCCTACATTGAGGAATTTTGAAATAACTATGTACAAATGTCTATCACATGTCATTTTTGTGTTGTGTCCAAGAACCACGTCCCTTTTCAATGGTCAAGGTCACACTTATATTTTTAAGGTTCACGCTATCACAATTAGAGATTATAGGTACACACATTTGTGTCTATAACTTTGTCATGCATTGAAGGAATTTAAAATAACTTGGCACAAATGCCTACCACATCAAGGAGAATTGTTGTGTGTAAGACCTATGTTCCTACCACCAAGGTCAAGGTCACTCTAATAGTTTGAAGGTACTTATGCTCATAAGAAGAATTTGAAGATGCCAAATAGTTTCCAAACTGTAACATTGTCATGCATTGAAGGATTTTAAAATAACCTGGCATTAATGTCACCAAATCAAGATGTTGTATCGCATCCAAGACCCTTGTCCAAAGGTGTCTAGTTTGCTTTAAATAGCACTTCATTTCTCAAGAACAAAATTAAGCAATTAGGTACTTTCATTATCTTTTCTTTTCATAATACCTGCATGCTTAAGACACCATTTCGGGGGCATTTGTCAGTTACGTGAAAGCTCATGTTATCATTAGTTTATAGTGTTTATAAGCTCTCATGGTGAGCTTTAATGATGTTGAATGTCCTTTGTCAGTCATCCGTCCACATTTGTTTATTTACACTCTAGTGTTCACATTTTTGCCAGAATCATCATCAAACTTTGTCAGGATGCTTGTTTAGGAAATACTTGTAGCTTGGATGAGTTTCAACAACTGGTAATCATGGTAAAACCTTTTTAAATTTCTAGTAAGGCCCCCGCGGTTATACTTTTAAACAGATTCTTATCGATTTTCATTAGTTAATGTTTACGATTTTTACCATTCAATCTAAGTGACCATATTGTCTTACAAAGTATCTTAATCATTACCTGTCCTCATGAATTCTATCAATTCTAAATGATTTATTTCAAAGTAAGAAACAGAAAATGAGTGTTTTCAACCCTTGACACAACATTTCCGTGCAAAAAATCGCTCGTGAAATAATACATTTTTGGTAAAGTTGATTTTTCTTTGTTCTTTCAAAAGTGTGAAATGGGCATACAATGCAGAAAATGTGTGCTGACTCAATCATGATGAGCCCTGAAATTGTAAACGTTGGAGCTTTACTCACTAGTGGTCACATTTTTGACTCGATCATCATCAAACTTGGTTAGGATGCTTGTCTAGGAAGTTGCTCGAGTGAGTTTGAACATGGGTCATCTTGGATGAAAAACTAGGTCACAGGAGCAAAAAATAAAAAATCTATTTAACACTACTGGCTACTGTTTTCATCTAAATATCCTGGACATTTGTCTGAAAGTATTCCGATATGGGTCATCTGGCGTCAAAAACTAGGTCACCCCGCCAAAATATGGAAAAACGTTGTTTACACTTCAGTGGTCAATCATCATCAACCCTGGTCAGGATGCCTTTCTAGGTAATTGCTTGGATGAGTTCGTACATTGGTAATTTTGGATGAAAAACTTGGTCACAGGAGCTAAATATAGAAAAATCTTGTTAACATTTTAGTTGCTACTGTTTTGATAAAAGTATCCTTGAAATTGATCTGAAATTTTGTTTTGATGATTTCTAGGTCAAGTTCCAATATGGGTTACCTGGGGGGTAAGAAAACTAGGTCACACTGCCCAAATATGGAAAAACCTTGTTAACACTCTAGTGGTCACATTTTTGAATCAATTGTCATCAAACTTGGTCAGAATGCTTGTTTAAGTATCTGCTGAGTTTTATAGGTCAGGTGAGCGATCTAGGTTTCTGGTTTAAAGATGTTTTCGGGAGTTTTCATATAGACATTCAAGTATAAAAGCTATGGATTTGTAACTTCATGGGAAGATAGATCTCATTAAACAGAAGTGCAGTGCACATAAACTAGTACTCTGCATTTCTTAATTTTGAATAATTGCCCTTTGTTAATTTTCGTACTTTATTTTTGTCCAGGCCATTTCTCATAAATTATAAAAGCTATGGACTTGAAACTTCATAGGATGATAGATCTTATTGATAAGAAGTGCAGTGCACAAGAATTGCTGCTCTGCACTTTTTAATCCCCTACGGGTTTACCGGAGGGGACTTTAGGTTTACCCTCCGTCCGTCTGTCCGTCAGTTCGTCCGTCCGTTTGTCCGTCCGTCAGTCCATCCGTCCACAAAACTGGATCCCGCGATAACGCTAAAAGTACTGAAAATATTTTTATGAAACTTGATATATGGATAGATGGCAGTATGGAGATTATGCACGTCTTTTTCTTTTCTTCCTATGTTGAAAATTCTGGTTGCTACGGCAACAAATAGACTGAAAATATGGCAAATTTTACACATAACCTAGATCCAGTGATAACGCAAAAAGTACTGAAAATACTTTTATGAAACTTGACATATGGGTAGATGGCAGTCTGGAAATTATGCACATCCTTTTCTTATCTTCCTTTTTTGAAAATTCTGGTTGCTATGGCAAAAAATAGACTGAATTTCAAGATTTCTGATTCTAGTTTTTAAGTTTTTTCATTATAAGTTCTTTATTCCTTAAGGTATTTTCTTCAAACTTTAAATATAAGTTGCTAGTCATTAATCACATCATATGTGACAAGGTTTACAACTCTAGCACAAAAATTTATCAGAATTACCTCCCTTGAACTTAAAACTTTCATGAAAAAAATATTGTTTTTTTTTAATAACTTCTTTTTTTCTGAATGTATCTACTTCAAACTTCATATATATCTTTCTTATTATCACTCAACATTTGTGAGAAAGTTCAATACTCTAGCAACACTTTTTCCAGAATTATGCCCCTTTTGAACTTTTTTTTCGAGAAATTGCTAATTTTTACTCCAAATTCTTCAATCATTATAGGATTTTCTTCAAACTCCCACATCATAATAATATGACAAGGTTTATAAATCTAGCATCCATATTTCCAGAATTATCTCCTCCTTAAACATTTAATTTTTCTTATTTGTTCTTTTAACTTTCTTTTACTTCAAATTCAAAATAAACATTCATTATTCATACCTTCATTACTAATTGTTCTTTGTTACACTCACATCATGTATGACGTCTTACATCTTTATTTCAAGAGTTATCTCCTTTTTAGCTCACCTGTCACAAAGTGATAGGGTGAGCTTTTGTGACCACTTTTCGTCCGGCGTCTGTCCGGCGTCTGTACACTTTTACTTTAAATGACATCTCCTCATAAACCGCTGAGCCAGTTTCATCCAAACTTCACAGGAATGTTCCTTTGGTGGTCACCTTTAAAATTTGTTCAAAGAATTGAATTCCATGTAGAACTCTGGTTGCCATGTTGCCATGGCAACCAATAGAAAAAACTTAAAATATCTTCTTTTAAAGAACCCAAAACGCTAGAGCTAAGATATTTAGCATGAAACATCTTCTAATGGGTGTCTACCAAGTTTGTTCAAATAAAAGCCCTGGGTCAAAATTGGCCCGGCCCCAGGGGGTCATTGATTTTCTCTATATGCATATAGTAAAAACTTATATAATCTTCTTTCAAAGAACCCAAAGAGCTAGAGCTAAGATATTTAGCATGAAACATCTTCTAATGAGTGTCTATCAAGTTTGTTCAAATAAAAGCCCTGGGATCAAATTGGCCCCGCCCCAGGGGGTCATGGATTTTCCCTATATGCATATAGAAAAAACTAATAAAATCTTCTTTTAAAGAACCCAAAGAGCTAGAGCTAAGATATTTAGCATGAAACATGTTCTAATGGGTGTCTACCAAATTTGTTCAAATAAGAGCCCTGGAGTCAATATTTGCCCTGCCCCGGGGGTCATTGATGTTCCTTATATGTGTAAAGCAAAAACTTTAAAAAAATCTTCTTTGAAAAAAACAAATAACTAGAGTTTAGATACTAAGCATGAAACATCTTCTAGTGAGTGTCTACAAAGTTTGTTCAGATAAAAGCCCTTGTTCAAAATTGGCCCCGCCCTAGGGGTCATTGATTTTATTTAATTGTATAGCAAGAACTTAAAAAAAATCTTCTTTGAAAAAACCCAAATAGCCTGAGTTAAGATATTAAGCATGAAACATCTTCCAGTTAGTGTCTTCAAATTTTGTTCAAATGAAAGCCCTAGGGTCAAAATTGGCCCTGCCCCAGGGGACATTGATTTTCCTTATATGTGTATAGCAAAAACTTAAAAATCTTATTTAAAAAAAAAACAAATAGCTAGAGTATAGATATTAAGCATGAAACATCTTCTAGTGAGTGTCTTCAAAGTTTGATCAAATAAAAGCCCTGGGGTCAAAACTGCCCCCCAGGGGTGTCATTGCTTTTAACTATATGTTTATAGTTAAAACTTCTTTTTTAAATACTCAACGAACTGGACCTTAGATGTTTAGCATGAAATATCTTCTAATGGGTGTCTACCAAGTTTGTTCAAATAAAAGACCTGGGGTTTAAACTGGCCCCGTTCTGGGGGCCTATATACAGGTGAGCGACTTCAGGGCAATCATGGCCCTCTTGTTTTAAAAATGTTATATTTTGATAACAGGGATGTTTAAAAAATAACTTTAGAGTGTCCTTCAGTCCGTCTGTCTGTCTGTACAAAAAAACTGTTTCCTGTGTTCATTTTTAAAGAAATTTTTCAACAAATTTACTTCAAATAGAAACATAAATGAATGGCCAATGGCCCTTCAGAATGTTGCTGGGGTTCTAACCGGTAGGGGACTTATGGATTGCTTGCAATACTATGATAATTGCTTGTTATTTTTTGAGTCATTGCCCTTTGTTTATTTTCATATTTCATTTTTTCCTAGCCATTTCTCTTAAAGTTACATTAAATAAATTTCATAAAAAAGAAATAGCGACATTTCATTAATAAATTGGGTTTCATATCGACTCCAGATCTTATTTTGGTGTCCAGACAACCAAAATGAGTTTAATGAGCATACAAATGTGCAACCTCATTGTGGCGAATTCGGTAGTACAATTTCTGTTTGCATGAGAAACTCCGCCTTCGGATCATCCGTACATCAATATTAAATCAACAAACATGACTATAAGTAGCAGTCCTAATTTAACGGTATATTTCCGCATTGTAACGGATATTTTCATACAAATTTAATCTTTTTTATGAGATGATTATTTTTTCTGAACCACAGGCCTCGTGCACCGTGAAGCTTAAACGGTAAAAGTGTGTTTGCACAAGAAAATCTTATATTTGCTGTGTTCTGGATGGCAACTATAACACCGTGACGTAGCGCATACACGAGCTGATTATAGACTTCATTTGCATGTTAAAATTCGTATACGAACTTTAGTGTTACCGTGGGGTTTTCCATTTAAAATCCTATGTTATGAACAAAATTTGATGAGATTTACAACGATACTGTTAAAAAGGTTAATGAAACTGTAGAATGCTTGGTTTTTAGGCCGACGGCAAAAATATTTTAATATATTTATTTAATGTAGCTTTAAACTATATTGTTCACAAGGCGACACATCCGACTCACGGAGTTCTAGTGTTATTTAGCAAGTTTTATAGATCTTGAAACCAATCCTTTTCCAAGTTTGAATGCAGCATTATTATGAGCTGTAGTTTTACAAAATCCATTTAGGTAATCACATCAAGTGGACAAATTATATGTATATATTGCAAAATTCCTCTTTTTACAGATATCTTATAATGAAGGAAGAAATGAAGAACAAGATAACCCTGACAAAAATGATGATCGATTTGGAGAAGCCGTCATAAACGACAATCTTGATTCACCTGCTTTAACATATACTCCCGGAAAAGTAGATGAACTCCGATAGATATGTTCCTGGTGTTTTAGCTCAAATTTTTTAAAACAAAATTCAAGGTATTGCTAGTCATTTCGTCCTTTCCTTTTGCTGGCTGAAAACTTATAACAGTGAATTTAATTTTTGGCTGGGTTGCACTGGTGCAAACCTAGGTTATAGTATGGTGAATGTCGGGTGGCGGGCGGTGGACGGGCAGGGAAAACTTTTTGTAACAGTTTTCCTAGCAACTACTTATCACAGCCTCTTCATATTTGGCATACAGCATGGACAAGTGGTCCCATAACGTTGGATTAGATTTCATGTCTGTTGCTCATCCACTTCCTGTTCATCCACTTCGTTAAATTTTCGACATTAATGGTCAATGGTAGGAATTTTTCGTCACATTTCCTCAGCAACTACTAATCATCGCCTCTTCTATTTGGCATACAGCATTGACACATGGTCCCATACCATGGGATTCGATTTCAGGTCTGTTGCTCATTTTTTGACATTAATGGTTAATGGTAGGACATTTTCGTAACAGTTTTCTCAGCAACTACTAATCACAGCCTCTTGATATTTGGCATACAGCATTGACATGTGGTCCCATACCGTGGGATTCAATTTCAGGTCTAGCGCTCATCCACTTTCTGTTAATTGACTTTGTGAAATTTTCGTCATTAATGGTCATTGGTAGGAAATTTTCGCAACAGTTTTCTCAGCAAAGACTTATCATAGCCTTTTGAAATCATGATATCTGGTTTACAAATGCAACCCGGCCTTTTCTGTCTTTGACCCATATTTTATTTGTTGATTGATTGTCTTTTAACTTAGACACAATGCTTTTCCCAAGACTTTCAAGTTCGAAATCATGGATTTTTCTTTTTATGTGTATGCATAATAAAAACGTAACAATATAATTTCTTATGAAATTGCAGGGCTAGCCCTTAGAAATTTGGTATGAGACATCTTGTAGTGAACCTTTACCAAGATTGTTTGAATTATTGAGGTCAATGTTTGACCTTACCTGGGGGGGCATTGTTTTCAATCACTTTAGTGATGTATCCTTCAAAATCATCTTCTCTATAACCCTACGGGCTAGAGTTTAGATATGTAGCATAAATCAAGATTTTTCAAATTCTGGCCCTGGGGTTAACATTGGTCCTTTCCAGGGGGTCCTGAATTTTACCTTAATATACACAGTAAAGGCTGAGAAATATCCGAAAGTCAAAATTTTTAATGTGGAAGTTTGTAATGGCTAGTCATGACCCCTGATGATTTTGAGGACATTCTGTCACAGGTCAATGTTAGTCTTGTCCAACTCATAGGTCAAGAATTTAGTCCTTAAGTTTGGTGTTCAGGTGGATCATGTTTAGAAGATGAACCGTATTGATTTATCGAGCCAGTGTTTGGGAGCAATATTTTCACCCATGTTTTTTATATTACATAACATATCAGAAGTTGTTTAATTATGTATGTTATATATTTCATTTGCAATTTTATTTTATATATTTTTGATACACTGATATGATATTTTGCCTTAATGATTTTTGTAATAAAAAACTGTGTGGCGTTTTGTCCATGTTTCTTATTTAATTCTACATTAAATATAAATTGCATGCAGTACCTTTAAACTTGATTGTTAGGCTCCGCCTACTTAGTGTACTGACCATTTGACTTCATATTGTTATACTGTCTTAGAAATAAACTCAATAGTATCAACATCTCGTATTCTCTGCATCCACGTCAAATAAACAAGCATAAAACATGGTATCAGAATAAAAGGATAAAATTATTGATAATAATAATTAGAATAATAAAAATATTTTTTTTATACCCCGCCGATGGAATCGGGAGGGCGATATTTTTTTGGCGTTGTACATCCGTCCGTCCTTCCGTCCATCCGAATTTCGTTTCCGCGCTAGTTCTCAGCAACAACTGGCTGGAATTCAACAAAACTTTATGGGAACCTTCAATATCAAAAGGATATGCGCATATCATTGGCTTGTTCCTTCCAGTCAGACCCTTTAACTCAGAGTGATTAGTTTGATTAGTTATGCAGTATGCATATAGAGCAATAGTTGTTTCCGTGCTACTTCTCTGCTACTACTGGCTGGAATTCAACAAAACTTTATGGGAACCTTCAATACCAAAAGGAGATGCGCATATCTTTGCCATGTTTTGGTCAGACGTTATGGCCCTTGATTAGTTATGCAATATGCAGATAGAACAAAAAACGTTTCCGCGCAACTTCTCTGCAACTACTTGCTGGAATTCAACGAAACTTATGGGAATCATAAGTATCAACAGGTGATGCGCATATCATCGCCTGGTTCCAGTCAGATATATAGCCTTTGATTAGTTATGAAGAATGCATATAGAGCTACATGTATATAATTGTTTCCGCAACTAATGGCTGGAATTCAATGAAACTTTATGGGAACCTCAATATCAGGAGGAGATGCACATATCTTTGCCTTGTTCTGGCCAGACCCTTTAACTCAGACTTTTGGTCTTGATAAGTTATGCAGCATGCATATAGGGCAATCGTTTCCGTGTTATGTCTCTGCAAGCACTGGCTGGAATTCAACAAAACTATGGAAACAATCAATATACTAAGAGGAGAGGCGCATATTATCCCCTTATTCGGACCCTTGAACTTCGAGAAATGGCCCTTGATTTGCAGTATGCATATAGAGCAATAATCGTTTCTGTGTCATTTCTGTGAAAGTACTGGCTGGAATTCAATTAAACTTAATGGGAACCATCAATACCAAAAGGAGATTGGCATATCATTGCCTTGTCCTGGTCGGACCCTTCAAGACGAATTATGGCCATTTGTTAGTTATGTAACTTATGCATATTGAGCAATAATCGTTTTCCCACTTTTTCTCTGCAACTACTGGCTGGAATTCAACAAAACTTTATGGGAACCATCAATACCAAGAGATGTGTATGTTGCCTTGTGCCGCTCAAACTCTTCAACACAGAGTTATAGCCCTTGATTAGTTATGCAGTATTTATATAGAACAATAATCGTTTCCGCGCTACTTCTCTGCAACTACTGGCTGGAATTCAATGAAACTTTATTGGAACAATAAATACCAAGTGAAGATGTGCATGTCATTGCCTAGTTCCAGTCAGAGCCTTCAAGACAGATTTATAGTTTTTCAGTATGCATATAGAGCAAAACTGCTGTTTCTTTTTATTACTGGATTGAACAACACTTAATGAGAATCATTAATACGAAAGGAACTTTGCATGCCATAATGACTTTACATAAAGCCTTATGTCTATGTCTCCAGTTGTTGTGTGAGTTATTACCACTTCTCTGAGGGGGATATAAATTCAACGAAGTTGCTTGTTGGATTTATTATCATTGATAAAATACGGATTCACGAACAAATCAAAAATTTGGACAGGGAAGCTAGAGACTTACCAAACGCCTTTAAGAAATTTAACAAACATTGTGAGTTAATGTTTGGAGGGCCGCTAGAAAAGAAAACAGAGGAAGGTAAGTGCAACTACTTAATGCCATTGGTTGGTGAGAAGGGTCGCCAATTTTTTTCAACCGGGACAGTTACTGCTGATCAATGAAAACTACATCAGACGTACTATGAAGGTTTTGAAACATATTGTGCGCCAAAAGCCAACCACATATACTCCAGATATAAGTTTATATCATGCATACAAGCTGAAGGACAAACCTTTGAAGAATTTGTCAGTTGAAATTATTTTTAAGGACGGTGGCTATCCAGACGACATACAAAGTGAGATGATCCGTGATCACACTATATTTAGTGTATGTTCCCACCAGATAAGAGAGAGTCTTATAAATGAAGAATCGAACTTGACTCTTGAAAATTGTATTGACTTCTCTTGCACTTATGCATTTAGTCAGACACAGTCAGGGGATAAAAGCGGCCAAGCCAATCCATCAATGCAGTCAAGAAATCCTCGGCAGCAACAGCACCATCATTAAAGCAGTTTTGGACGCAAAGCAGGAGGACAGATGTCAGCAAATACAGCCATAACTCTGTAATGAAGGATCTTGTCTGAACAAGGCAACAAATTATGAACATCACATCTTGGTATTAATGGTTCCCATAAAGTCTGACCGGAACAAGGCAACGATATGAGCACCTCCTCTTGATATTGTTGATTCCCATAAAGTTTCGTTGAATTCCAGAGAGTAGTTGCAGAGAAGAAGCACAAAAACGATACTTGCGCTTGATGCATACTGCATAACTAATCAAGGGCCATAACTCTGAGTAAGTGTCTGACCGGAAAAAAGGCAATGATATGCGCATCTCCTCTAGGTATTGAAGGTTCCCATTAAGTTTCGTAGAATTCAGGCAAGTAGTTGCAGAGAAGTAGCGCAGAAAGGTTTTCTTCTCTATATACATAATGCATAACTAATCAAGGGCCATAACTTGAGTTAAAACGTCTGACTGGAACAAGCCGACGATATGAGCATCCCCTCTTGATTTTGATGATTCCCATAAAGTTTCGTTGAATTCCAGAAAGTAGTTGCAGAGAAGAAGCACGAAAACGTTTATTGCGCTAGATGTATACTGCATAACTAATCAAGGGCCATAACTCTGAGTTTAAGTGTCTGACCGAAAAAAGGCAACAATATGCGCATCTCCTCCTGGTATTGAAGGTTCCCATTAAGTTGCGTTGAATTCAAGCCAGTAGTTGCAGAGAAGCAACGCGTAAACGATTATTGCGCTATATGCATACTGCTTAACTAATCAAGGGCCATAACTCTGAGTTATAGTAACTGACCGGAACAAGCAGAAGATATGCACATCTTCTCTTGGTATTAAAGCTTCCCATAAAGTTTCATTGAATTCCAGCCAGTGGTTGCAGATATTATTGTTATATATGCATATTGCATAACTAATCAAGGGCCATAACTCACAATTAAAGTGCCTGATCGGAATAAGACAACGCTTTGCGCATCTCCTCTTTGTATTAAAGGTTCCTATAAAGTTTAATTGAATTCCAGGCAGTAGTTGCAGAGAAGTAGCGCGGAAACGGATTTTTGCACTATATGCATACTGCATAACTTATCAAGGGCCGTAACTCTGAGTTATAATGTCTGACTGGAACAAGCCTACGATATGCACATACCCTCTTGGTATTAAAGGTTCCCATAAAGTTTCGTTAAATTCCAGCCAGTAGTTACAGAGAAGTAGCGCGGAAACGAGTTTTGCTCTATACATAATGCATAACGAATCAAGGGCCATTAGATGTTTTCAACGGAATAGGAAAACTGCCAGGGAAATTTGAAAATCACTTGCGTGACAATGTCACACCAATAGTTCACCCTCCGCGCAGAGTTCCAATTGCCATTTGTGACAAACTTAAAATAGAGCTTGAAAGAATGGAAATGGTATTATTAAGAAAGTCGCAGAACCTACAGACTGGGTATATAGTCTAGTTGTAGTAAAAAAAAACATAATGGCTCTTTACTGTTATGCTTTGATCCGAAAAATCTAAACAATGCCATCAAAAGACCTCATTACCCTAATAGGACCTTCGACGACATATTGTCTATATGGCCTAAAGAATGCAAATGATGCATTTTGTGCATAAAATGGAGAAGTGTCTGGAAAAATTTGCCAGGAGTAAGAACAATTGTCGATGACATTGTTATTTACGGCAAAGAAAGGGCAGAACATGACAAAAATCTGGACAGAATCTTGAGAAGATGTCGATTAACAGGCATCAAGCTCAATCTCGACAAAACGTAAATAGGGAAAACTGAGTTACCTTCCTTTGGCCACTTTATTTCTGATCAAAGTTTACAAAATAGATCCTACAAAGGTCAAGGCTACAGCAGATAAGTTATCTTCAACTTCTAAACAGGAATTGCAAACAGTTCTAGGCATGGTCACATACTTACAGAGATTTGCACCCAGACTCTCAGAAATTGAGCACTGCACCCATGAGACAGCTTCTATCTATAGATGTAGATTTTAGCTGGAATGCACCCAAGGAAAATGCCCTACAACAGGTTAAAAGCATTATTACACAAAGCCCTGATCCAATACTCTCTTACTTTAACCCAAATTAGTAAATTACTCTTCAAGTCGACTCGTCAAAGTATGGTTTAGCTGCAATACTCGTGCAAGAGGGTAAATCAGTTGGTTTCCATTTAAGACACTTACACCTACAGAGGTCAATTATGCCCAAATCTTCAAGGAATTGTACACTATCCTTTTCGGATGTAATAAATTTCTCCAGTATATTTACGTTAAAAGTAAAAAATGTCAAAGTGATCATAAACCTCTGCAAGCTATATGGAAAAAAGGCTTGAACTCAGTACCTCCGCGACTGCAGCGCATATTACTGCATTTTCAGCAGTACGATATTGATGTAGTTTTCATCCCCGGGAAAGATATACCCCTAGCAGATACTTGTCATGGAAATTCTTATCAGACTCATGCCCCGAAATTGCCGAATCGGCTAATCTAGAAACACATGTACTCAAAATTACCAGTGTGTGACCAAAAAATGGAACAAATTAGGTTATCAACCAAATCTGACCCACAAATGAAAATTCTTTCATCACTTATCCTGATTATAGATCAGATTTGCCACAAAGCATCCTGGAATTCTGGAATTTCAGAGATGAACTATCAGTTATAAATGGTTTCATCTTAAAGAATACTAAAATTCTAGTTCCAATTGAGCTCAAATCACTCATG